CATTTAGACTCCGTCGGCTAGTTTTGACTTTATTTTTAATGATATAATTTTAATAGGCCGGGCCTCCTAAAGTTCGTTAAAATTTCATAGGTTCTTTATTCGACGTCGGTTTTCGTTTGTCTTTTTATTGTTTTATTACCACCGAGGAGATCTTCAACTTCCGTTTAGGTGGCGATAGCTAAATAATACTCGATCTTCAATCCGAGTTTTTAGCCCTTTACTACTGTTACGAAACTTTGAAAATTCGTAACTTCTTCATACGAGGTCCAAATTGGGCGATCTTTTTATGCACGCTCATCTTTCAACGAGATCTACGACTTTTGTTTAGATACTTTAAGGCTAAAATGTATTTTATTGAGATTTCACTTTTTACATCAAATTATGTTTTAACGTCGTGTCGTAATTATACGAGTGGTTATAATTTCTTCAATATAACTCGGTTTTGAGTGTTCTTTATGTTTTTGGAAACCTGGGCATGATATCTAATATTCGATGCATCCCAACTTAGATACCTGAACACTTTATTTTCGAGGTTAATTTCGTTGTTTTTAGCTTTCGAGTGTTTACAATGCTTTTGGGAAAAATAGGGTTGTCACAATTGTAGATCTGGATGGTTCAAAAAACGTCGTAACCTAGATGACAGAGTACATATGCAATCAGTATCCATCGGTGAAAGACCCCAACTTTCGTATTTTTGAAAGACCCAAACTTTCATACTTCACAATATCATTACTCCAAAACATGCTATTTGCATATTCATAAAAGCAATATTTTACATTGATAATGGGAATTACAAACTATTGGATACAAACCTTCTATTACAAAGTGTTATATATATTACATAACTACCCAGGATATTGTAATTTATACAAACATAAACTGTAGTACAAAAGTACTATTACAAACTATTCTACATCTTTCAATAGTATGTAAACATACTAGTTACTTATCACCTGCAATTGTTAAACATTGATAGGGTAAGCGGTGACGCTTAGTGAGTTTAAAAATAGATACAATATAATGTTATGCCATATATATATATATATATATATATATATATATATATATATATATATATATATATATATATATATATACTTCAATGTGGCAAAAGCAAAGAGGAACAACAAGATGTATGTGAGATCATGTGACAAACGTTCATATCAATCAAAGACTTTATTCAAAGATATACTTTTTAATGCTTGATATACATCAATAAAGCTTTGGCCCAAATGGCATAGAAGACATGAGATTTCTGATTAACATCTTGTTAGATTTCAGGCTTATAGTCTTGTCTAACCATTTGCCAATGCCATAGAATAGAAGTCATTATCATACAGAGACATTATGTACATGGCCAAAGGCTACGTACCAGTACCAATGTGAATCTAAGTCCTTTCACTGATCACATGGTCAAAGGTATTACAATTGCTATAAACATAGCGAATAACACGAGAAAATAACTCAGAATAATAACACTGAAAAGCACATAGCACATATAACACATAACATACAATTGTTCCTATATATTGAACTCACCGTAAGTTAACCGGGGGTTAAAATAGTAATTTGGATAGCACTTCGGCTTTAAATATGTCTTTCTATGTTGAAAACCGGGAGCTTAATTGAAAATCGGGCTCTGCGAAGGTAGGGCTTCAAAACCGAAAAGATAAAATTTCCGGGATTCTCGGGGGTCTTGGGACGTGTTTCGGGTGCTAAAATTGATATCGTGGCTTTGGGGAAAGTCAAAATGAAGAAAATACGAGGGGCTAAAAGTGGCAAGTTTCCAAAGTTAGTCGGAAGGTCTCGCAGGTCCTCCTATTTATAGGCGAGGGTTCGGCCGAGAAGGTGACTCAGTGAAGACACGCGGCAGCTGCGCAGGGCTCCAGCAAGGCTCGGACGGAAGGGTGACGAAGCTGCTCGGCTGCGAGGCGGGGTAAGCGAGGCGTGGCTCGCATCGGATTGGCCACCGATGCGAGGTGTGTCAAGATCTTATTGGACCTCGGCTTCGGTGAATCAGAAGGGAACACGCAGCGGTCTCGGTTTGGGAGGGAAGCAAGCAGCGAAACAGCTCGGTTTGGGCCACGTCTCCGGGGACGCACCTGCTTCGTGCGAGGTGACGTGGCCGGTACTATTCATGCGAATTTCTTCGATTTTCGGTCCCCGAACTTCTAAAATCCTAACTTTTGCATACGAGCTCCGTTTTTGACGTTCTTTATATGCACGCGTAGCTAAAGTTACGCTCTACAACTTTCATTTAAACTTCGTTGGCTAATTTTGACTTTATTTTTAATATTATTATTTTTAATAGACCAGGACAGGAAAATCCGTTAAAAATTCATAACTTCTTCATCCGACATCCGTTTTCGTCAAACTTTTTACCGTTGTACTACAAATGACGAGACCTTCGATTCTCGTTTAGAATGTATCGGTAAAATATCGCTTGATCTAAAATTCGAGTTTTTAGCTGTCTACTGCTAAGTTGAAACTTTGAAAAATCATAACTTCATCATACGAAGTCAGATTTTGGCGTTCTTTTTATCGAATTTCTCGGTTTAACGAATACTACGACTTTCATTTGGATTACTAAGGCTAAAAAGTAGTTTATCAAAAACTTACTTTTTACGTCATTCGGTGCCGTGCCGGGTTTGTTGCGGATCTTCGGTTGGTCATAACTTCTTCGTTATAACTCAGATTTTGACGAGGTTTTCGCCTACAAGTTTCTAACGAGATTCTCTACAATATCAAATAATAAAATTTTACTTACTTAAAATTTCATATTTTTTCTAAATTTCACTATTCGGCTTTTAATTGGAATCTCATAAGACTTCCAATATTTTCTGAGTGATTCTAAACATAGTTTTACTTCATTTATAGTAAAAACCATCTGTTAGAACTCAACACTCAATTTTACATAATATTTCACAATTTTATTCATTACAAAACATTATTTCAAAACGTGTATGTTACAAATACCTCCTCCTTTTGAGGATTTTGTCCCCGAAATTACATCGATTAAAATAAATGGGGATATTTTGCTTTTATCTCATTCTTATTCTCCCAATTATAGTTTGGGCCACGATGGTGTTTCCATTTGACAAGCACCAATTCTACTTCTTTATTGCGTAGCTTAGTTGTTTTTTCATTCATGATTTCTTCAGGCTCTTCTACATATCTTAACTTATTATCCAATTTCACTTCGGATAATGGAATTGTCTCATCGTAGATGCTCAAGCATTTGCGCAGATAACTTACATGAAACACATCATGAATACCTGCCAAATCTTCAGGCAATTCTAAGCGGTATGCTTGCTTTCCAATTCACTTGTAACGACTCGTCTATGGTATGTTGTTTTTATATTATTTATTATAGAAGTTTGCAGAGGGACTCGACGAGTCTATGGCCCAACTCGTCGAGTAGAGTCGTGATCTTGAGCAGCGTATAGATCGGCGACTCGATGAGTCCATATTCGGGACTCAGCGAGTCGGCTTGCCAGGTAGAAACCCTAAATCCCCGGGTTTGCACCCTATTTAAACCATCTTATGAGCCCCCAAACTCGTCTCCTTCACCCTCAAAGCATCATTTAGCAAACCCTAACCATTCCATTGAGTATTTGAGCATTTCTTGTGTAAATCTTGAAGTTTTGAAGAGAAGAAGGAGGCTAGATCCAAAGGAGAAGAAGAAGATCCAAGGTCTTGCACCCATTTCAGAGTTTATTGAAGTAATAATCGGATTCCTCCTATTTCTATGATTGATTCTCCTTTATAAGCATATTTAGCCCATTTTATCCATTCCTTAGCTTGTTCATAGTAGAGAAATCATATTAGATTGCTTAGCCCTCAGATCTAACCATGTTTCAGTTCCAAAAACGTAGATCTATCACCTTTATGGAGCCATTTTGCATGATACCCTAGATCTATTCTTCCAAGTGCCTTTTTAGCCTTTATATCCTTTTTCATGCATTTGTACACGTGAAGTTGGAAACTTTACGTGGTAAACCAGCCTTAGGAACTCAGATCTATAATTTGTATGCAGTGGTTTTGAGCAGAATCGAGTTTTTAGTAACTACATGCATGTGACTCGGCGAGTCGTTCTTCGGACTCGGCGAGTCGAGTCGCAAGTCCCCGATCTTTCCCCTTTGAGTGATTCTGAGTGGGGACCAGTGAGTAGTAGCAGGGACTCAGTGAGTCGGAGGTTAGACTCAGTAATGGAGGGACTCGACGAGTTGTTCATACAACTCGGCGAGTCTAAGACAATCTTCTTAGATTCAAGAACAACTCGGCGAGTCGGATGCATATAGCCTGAGTTTTAGAATCGAATGGGAACTCGTCGAGTTTATGCCATACTCGACGAGTAGCAGCAAGCAGGGTTGAGAAATGAGAGTAGGGACTCGGCGAGTTGGCGGCCCAACTCGACGAGTCAGGTCAACTGTAAGTTGACTTTGACCAGAAGAGTTGACTTTGACCAGGAGAGTTGACTTTAGTTAGGGCTAAAAGAGTCATTTTACCCCAATGTAGTTATTAGTATTTGATTGAGTGTATTTGTGGAATTGTAGCCGGGGAGATACCAGAGCAGCAACAGATAGCTTCCAGAGCCATACACTCAGCAGCCAGATCACGAGGTGAGTTTCCTTTCAGTAGAAACGGGTCTAAGGCCACAATGCCGACCTGTATAGTTAGTAGTAGTTTCCAGACTTTCAGTAGGAACGGGTCTAGAGGCATCCCTACCCTATCTCATCTCTGCTTTTTTATTTTAGAACATTAAATCCTCGGTCGACTTGCAGATTCTCCAATCAAACCGGATACTGGTTTCGTGTCATTTTTTCCATCCCTACCCTAGGGTATGATAAAAAAAGATATATATAATACCATTTTTTTTTTAAATATTCAAAAACTAGAATTTCTCTAGAAACATCACCTCAATTTTTATAATTATTTCAATAAATAACTATTTTTCTTATAACTTATTGTTCTACAATTAATTATCACATAATTTTCTTTGTAAAAGTTTTTTATAATTTTCTTTCTAATCTTTATCTTTATCACGTAATATTTTAAAATTGCTTCTACAAAAATAAATGCTACGTTTCTAAACAGGGTATTTGAAATAAATTAAAGAGTAGCGTGTACGAGCTATGGTTGGGTGACCTAATCGTCCCATCGTCGATTTTGTTCTCCGATCGAAGTATCCTGCGATGAGCTGTAGTAATCTAGCAATTCTCACCGATGAAATGAAGGATTGACCAAAAGATTGGGTATATATGGCGGATAAGAGGAAGATCAAGACCGAAGCTAGCAGTAGCAGCAGTAACATCAATAATGGTAGAGGCGAAAGCGTCGTCGTCGATGTTGGTCGCCGTAGAAGCTCTTGCGGTTATTGCAAATCCGGCTCCAACACCAGTATTACTCACGGTTAGTTGGTTTATAGATTTTACTGATCGGTTGCGCGCATATGTCATGATCATGTTTATATGATTAGGTTTATATGTATGATTTCATTTGAAATAGTTCCATCTGTGATCTTCATGTTCCAGGGGACTTTGATACCTAATATTTTAGTTCTACCTAGTTAAAACTAGATTGCTCTTGTGCGATTGCTCAGGAACTTTTTCCCTCCAGGGAAGGGGTATAGAATGTGCAAAACGACTTAGAACAACAGCTAGATTAGTGCTGTATTGGGTATTCCATTCTTTGTCCATAGAGCTCAAGTTTGACTTTATCAATAAAACAAGATGCTTTCTACAATAAAGTTGATGTGAATTGTAAACTTTTCGGAAAAGATTGATAACGACATCATACTAGCATATCCGATGTAGATTTACAAGTTACCTAATCCAACATCCATGGAAGAATTGTAGGTTTGACATCGAAAATCTTACATTCCATAGCGTGATAGAGAGATTAAAGACTTTATCAAGTTAGTTTTATCTATACACTAAAAACAGATGATATATGTGATCTTAATGATTAATATAGTTGTAAAAGATATACCTACATCCCAAATCAATGAGTTTGTTGGTCAAAATTTAGAAAGTTGGAAAGTCTTCAAGTTTTGACCTTCATTGTGCACCAGAAGCCAGCCCATCAACATTATTCTTTTTTCTCCTTTTGATTCTATATGCAAGTAGCACATAAATAGACAGTTTTATGCACATTTTTCTCATGTAAATTCCATTTTCTTGATCTTGCAGGTTTATGGGCACACAGTTTGACTGTTCATGACTACCAAGGTTAGTTTGTGTACCTTAATAACCAGAAGATTTTCATGTCCTATACCTAGTATTAAGTATTAACTACTGAAATGCCTACATAACGATAGTATTACTAAATCCTCTATGGATCAACTATACCCAAACTTCTGGATTCATACTCCCAGTTTTTTTTGCTTAGAATATTTATAATATCTTTTATTCTTTTGTTAGCTCTTCTTGACAGAGGTTGGAGGAGATCTGGTTGTTTCCTCTACAAACCAGAGATGGAAAAGACATGTTGCCCCTCTTACACAATTCGTTTGAAAGCAACTGATTTTGTTCCTTCCAAAGAGCAAAGCCGTGTATCCAAACGAATGCAAAGGTGATCATACATTATAAAAATCCACTTTCTATTCCTTCTCTCGTTTTCAAACAAATTTATAACCTTCCACCAACTTAATTTCAGGTTTCTAGAAGGTTCATTAACTGTTAAGAACCAGATGAACAAAACGAGCCATCAAGTGATGCAATCCGCGTTTCAGATGGTGATGATCATGGTAAACCAGATAACAGCATCGAGAACTATTTATCCAACGAGATCGATTCCATAGTAGACACATGCACCCAACACGGGGATTTCCCCAAATGACATAATCGCCCCTAAAGCTTCCGTAAAACCCGTTGCACCATCAAAGCGCAAGTTACAAGCCGAAGAAGCACACGACCTTTTGTACTCCAGCAACATTTCTTTTCAGATATCCGCTGCTTTAAAACGAGGCAATAAGACTATCCAAAAAGACAACCAAAGCATGGACCCGAACCCGAAACTGATCGCGGAAATTTTATCAGGGCATTTAAGTAATTTAACACCACCTCTCCATTTGTCTGTGAAAGCTTGCAACGGACATATAAACTTCTATTCCACCGAGACACAACCACCAGACACAGAATCAATAACCGGAAACGGAAAGGCTTCTTCCGTTTGTAAAGACTCTTCTTCCAAGGGTATTTCTGTAAATAAACAGAGTCTTGAGATCCGTTTAAAAAGATCCGGGTTTGACCCGGAAGAATACGAGCTATACAGGAGATACCAAATTAAAGTGCATAACGACACACCGGATCACGTGACTGAAAGCTCTTACAAACGGTTTTTGGTTGACAGTCCTTTAATTTTTGTCCCCACAAGTGGTGATGTCAGTGTTCCATCTTGTGGATTTGGTTCCTTTCATCAACAGTATTTGATTAATGGGAAGCTGATTGCAGTTGGTGTGATTGATATTCTTCCTAAATGTTTATCCAGTAAGTATTTGTTTTGGGATCCGGATCTTGCCCAGTTGTCACTGGGTAAATACTCAGCACTTCAAGAAATAAATTGGGTGAGAGAGAATGAAAAGCATTGTCCTACTTTGCAGTATTATTATCTTGGATATTATATTCACTCTTGTAGCAAGATGAGATATAAAGCAGCTTATCGCCCATCTGAGCTTCTCTGTCCTCTTCGTTATCAGTAAGTTAGTTTAAAGATGATATAAAAAATAAAAACATATGAAGTTTTAATTTTTTTGTTTTGATAAACAGGTGGGTTTCTTTTGATATTGCAAAGAGGTTGCTTGATAGAAAGGCGTATGTTGTGTTGTCTGATTATGCTAACTTGCTGGATGAGGGAGATATGTCAGTTAATGATAGTAAGAAGAATGTGGTGGAAGATCAAACCCAAAGAGAAGAGGAAGAAGAAGAAAATGAGCGTTTTGGAGAAGGATCAAATGATGTTCGTATGGATGGGGATGAAGAAATGTCTGAAGTTGCTTTTGATGAGTCTGATGATGATGATGGAACGGGTAGTCTGACACCTGTAGAAATGGAAAAGGATGTGAGTAATATTGTTATTGGTTTGAAGGGAATGCATCTGAAATACAAGGTACATATTTCTAAGTTAATACTTAAAATGTTTGTTTTGATATTTGAAATTTGAAATTTGAATTGAAGGACATACGACAAGCTTTTGGAGTGAATGAAAGAAATTATCTGGAAAATCAGCTGCATAAATACGCGACAGTTGTGGGTACTGATCTGTCTGAAAGAATGATTTATTCGCTTGGTTGATGCATTTGGAAATCATCAGAAGCAAGTGAGGTTGAAATGCTTTTCACAACAAGAACTTCTACCTTCATATAATCTGTTAAAAAAAAAAAATCATGTTTGTTGTTTCATCTTTTGTGGTTTCACTAGAATATATACATACATATATATATATATATATCCTAACCACACTCAACTTACTACTCCGATCTTGGTTGCTTGGATTTTTATGAATTACTTTTTAGTGTACAAATTGTGATTCACATGGTACACATAAAATAGGGTCCCAACCAGTTTTCGTGTGGATAAAATCGTAAGAAACCTCATCTTTACTACACTTTTTCCTTCCTGTTTAATCAAATAATAAAGCATTCTATCTTGTATATTTCTTTTCCCTGGACTTTTTTTTCTTCTTCATCAAACTAATCATGTATGTTAGAGATGTAAGTTAAAAAGGTTACTAAAAGGGATTAAGGGTCTGTTTGGTAATCTTTTAATGGAGTCTATTCAGATGTCACTTCTAAATGGGGCAACAACATTCAATGCGTTTGGTAACATCTGAACAAATCAAAAGCTTTGGAAGTGCTTGTGAATGGTTAAACAATCTTTATATTGTTGTCAACCGCTTACCTTTTAAATAAGGTACCTAGTAAGAAAACAAAGAAATACACCATCACACAAGTTATGGGTGCAAGTAAAATCATCTTATAATTGTCTTTACTTATAATCGTCTTTAACTGTGAGGGTGTTTAGCTACAAGCTTCTCCAATCACAATCACCAAAATGATGATTATTTAACACAATTTTAGTGATTTCATTCTAACAAACCTCTAGAAGCTTTCCTATCTGGCCTGTATATTTGGTGTTAAAAAGAGCCATCATCAAAATAATGTGAATTTTGAAGGCTGATTGAAGTAAAAATGATGTTTTAGGTGTCCATTGTAGTTGCCCTAAGGTAGTGGAACATGCAGCCAACATGATAAAAGATAAGGCCCAAGATTGTGTATTGCATCTTTATTTGATATGCGCAAAACAATAATAGCACCTATTGGTTCCTTATTCATGATTCATATGTACTTGACATGAATAAGGGCCATGATAGTGGAATTCTAAAATGTATCATCATTTGAACGTTTTCTTATCTTAATAAAAGAGAGATAGGTTTTCCAAAAGCAATTGATCATGATGAACATTACACATGAGGAAAGAGTGGATGAAGAAATATATCCACACTAGTAAAAGGACATACATAAAGAAATATCGTCATCCGATTGTGAAGAAGCAAACCAACGCTTAACAATTTTCTTATCTTTTTAACCTTTAAACTTTCCTATTTAACCTCCTTAAACGCTTAACAATTTTCTTATCTTTTTAACCTTTAAACCGTTGATTGGTCGGATAAGAAAACGTTCCTCATGTGTAATGTTCACCCTAAGATATGTTTATAGAAATTGTGAAGAAGCAAACCAACGCTTGATACACTACTACTTTCAAGAAAACACCACTTTTCAAGGGTACTATTTCTGAAGGCGTTTCAGAATGTTCAAAGCTTTGTACGGATGTATAGTGAAAGATCTAATGAGGGAGCGCGATTTTTTCCAACAACGGCCCGATGCCAGGGGACAACTGGTTTCACCCATTTACAAAAATACACAACTACACTTCGTCAATTAGCATATGACACTCCTTCTAATGTGTTGGACTAGAGTTTTAGGATGTCCTCCAGGACTGCACTAGATAGTCTCCATTATTTTTGCAAAACTATTATTCAACTTTATGAGCCAAAATATTTACGTAAGCCTATACGCAATGAAAGCATGAAATTGCAAACTCATCATGCTAGCGTACATGGTTTTATTGGAATGTTAGGAAATTTAGATTTTCTACATTGGGCATAGGAAAATTGCCCTACCTCACACTATGGTCAATTTACCCGAGGTGATCATAGGCATCCAACGGTCATACTTGAAGCGCTGGCATCACATAATCTGTGGATTTGATATGTTTTTTTGGTTCTCCTAGTTCCCTTAACGACATTAACGTTCTTAATCGTTTACCTATCTTTCCAGTTGCATAGAACACCATATAAACATGGTTATTATCTAGTTGATGGGATCTATCATGAGTATGCGTTTTTTTTTTTTTTTTTTTTTTTTTTTTTTTTTTTTTTAAAATTGTTTACGTGTCCGCATGATACTCGCTGGAAAAAAATTTCAAGAAAGCTCAAGAAAGAGCTAGGAAGGATGTCGAACGGGCTTTTGGTGCTCTTAAGAAACGTTGGTTCATATTGAAAAAACCAACATTTTTTTTCAAAAAATGCATGAACTCATGCATGCATGTTTAACACTGCATAACATGATTATCGAAGACAAAGGATGAATGATATGTGATTATGATGAGTAAGAAATCATTCTCGAGACACAAATAATAGAAATTGATGGCGACAAGTATATTGAAAAGAGAGCAGATGTTCGTTCCAATGAAACATTTCACACTCTTCATATGGACTTGGTGGAACACATTTATGAGATTCAACACATTAACCTCAATTTAAATCCCCTGGACGACGAGTTCTCAGAGGACAATTTCATGTAGTTGGTTTATGTTTTTTTTTTAATTAATTTTTATAAATGTGATGTTAGTTTTTATGTGATGCAATGTAATGAGTTATTTATTTATTTATTTATTTATTTATTTTTATTAATGATATATTTTGATTTTAATTAAAACTAAAAATTTTAATAATAAAAAAATATATTAAGTGTGGTACCACTATTTGGGTGTGGTATGAAACCACATTTTTATGATAAATGGTGATGTGACGCTTACGTGGCAGTGTAGTTTCATGAGGGAGTGTGACACCACTCCCTCTAGCCTTATATGGCTTGTAACAAGCCCCAAAGCAATAACATCAAAAGTTTAACCTCATATATTGGAATCAGGATTTAAGATTCACAAATGACATATGTTTATGTTGATAATACAATTGATGGTTATCTTATCCTATGCCTTTATATTGATGATATACTTATCATCAGTAGCCATAATAAAATGATCTCAAAAAATTATGATATGAAAGGTTTGACATGAAATTTATAGGTTTAGAACATGTAACCATTGACGTTAAGATCATAAAAACTCAAAATGGACTTGTATCAACTCAAACAAATTATAGTGGAAGGATTCTTGAGACATTCGATGCCGACTATTCTAATATAGCTAGAAAATAGAATGACACAAGCACCATCTAAGGACGTGAAGAAGTTTCATTGGTAGAATGCTCGATAATTGTTGGTAGTTTGATATGTATGATGAGTTCTTGTAACATCCCGGGTTTTCAGGTATCTTCAAATCGTTCCTTTGGTTTTAAAATATGTCATTTTTGTCCTTGGATTATAAAGATGTAGCCCTAGTGGCAAAATGGTAATTTTGGGAGCAGGAGTTGTACGGTGGGTGTACATGTGATTACGCTGGGCGTACTAATGTCCGGGTGAAACCCTAATTTTTAGGGTTTGAGGAGTATTTAAACACCTTTATGGATCATTTAGCCTCATCCTTTCAGCCTCCAAGCCTTGAGTCGTTCTCAGCAAACCCTAACCCTATAAGAGAGTGTTTTAAGCTTATAATGTTCTTTTTGTGCTTAAAGGAGAAGGAATTGCATCAAGGAGTCTAGAAGGGAAAACAAGCTTATAGATCTTGGATCCTCATCTTCTTAGGAAGCTCCAGAAGGTAAAAAGTTGCTACCTTTACGCTCGGTTTGCTTAGATCTCATCTTGGTAGCTTTATGATGTTCTTTTGTCCCCAAAAGTCTCATTTTTGTGCATGTTTGGTGTTGGACATTTTGGGCTGTCCTTTCAGACCCTAGGAAGGGTTCTAAGCCATAAAAATAAGGTCCCTTTAGCTAGTTTGGCTTCATGCTTCTTGTGGAAGTTCTTAATGGATTAAGACCATGTATTAAGGACTTTTTGGATGTCTAAAGTCATAAAGTTGGAGACTTTATGACTCTAAGGTTTATTTGGACCATGGATATGAAGTTTGGGCTTAAGTGCTTAAGCCATTAAACACTTATTGAACTTTTGGGCTCTGCGAGGGTATGCCCCGCGTAAGGGGGAGTACGCCCAACGTACTCGGTCAGCCACCCCGTCGTGGGTCAATGCGAGGTGGTGTACGCCCATCATACCGAAGGAGTACGCCTCACGTACGCCTTCTGTTGGACTTCGGATTTTAGGCTTCAAGTTTTGGGCCACCTTTTGGGATTGAATGCTTGGGCCCTTATTGGTCTATCTAAGTATGAGTGTTTTGAGACAAGTGAAGAGTTGGACCTTAGGATAAGGCCCTAAAAGGAGTTTAGGCCCAATTTAGAAAACTAGGCCAATGATGTGCCTTGTATAATTTTGGGCTTTTGGATCAAGAATTGGGTCTAGGTCTTGGCCCAATTATGGATAGGGTAAAGTGATCATTTACCTTAAGTTTGGGTCATTAGTCAAGGACGTTGATTTAGTTTTTAATGGGATGTATATTTGTTGTGATAGTTTGGGATTTTAGTGGGCCAACAGTCGGAGGTTTTCCGTGCGATTCATCAGTGTGAGGTGAGTTTTCCTCACTGTACTTTTGGGTCGAAGGCACCAAGGCCAACCCTTTGGATTGTTATCCTGGTTTATTGTGTGATTGTATGTGTAGTGATCTGTTAGATATGTATCCTGGTATATAGGATGATGCTATGTGTAGTGATTTGTTAGATCTGTATCCTGGTATATAGGATGATGCTATGTGTAGTGATCTGTTAGATATGTATCATGATATATAGGATGATGCTATGATTAGTCATCTGTTAGATCTGTATGAATGTATGTACATGCTAGCTAGTGTTTGATATGGTATATGTTGATATGTGATGGTGGGTTGGGTTGATGCGATCCTGTTTTGTGCTGAAGGCCAACAGACCCAAGGTGTCCTGGATAGATTGTAGGCCAGTGGGGCGTACCAGTCAGGCCGAAGGCCCGGAGAATGTTCCGGATAGGCTGAAGGCCCGCTGTGGCGTACCATGACAGTCATGCTGAAGGTTCTGTGAGCATACCACGTAGACTGCAGGCTGGTAGGGCATTCCAGTTAGACTGAAGGCTTTGTATACATGTTGCTTACTGTTGTTATTATGATATTGTGATGTGATGGTATTCTGGGGGAACTCACTAAGCTTTGAGCTTACATTTTTGGGTTATGTTTCAGATACCTCAGAGGATCGCGGAAAGGTGAAGGCGTGATCGTGCACCTCCTTGTGTTATGTTTTAAGATTTTGGGAAAACTCTGATATTGAACATGTTTTTAAAACTATTTTGTAAACAACGATGATTTATGAGCTGGTTTTAAAAGTTTAAACTTTTTATGAATTTTATGGATGTTACAATTGAAACAGAGGTGATGTAGCTTTTGCACCAAACAAACTAAATAAATATACTCGTGGTGAGAATTGAAAAAATAT